AAGATCTTTAATTAGCAGAATATTATTTAGTGTTATGTCAGAATATGTTCCTGCAAATATTTACACACATTTATAACTTAGCCCCATTAAGGTCAGTAGATTGTTCAGATGGGTAATTTACAGAAGTGAAATTATGCACTTATTTCAGAGATTGCAAGATCTTTACTCCTAACAACACTTTCAGTTTTGTATCATTTCTTCGTGTATAAGCAATGTTATAAATTAATTGCATAATAATATCTTCAAACAAAATATTGAAATCTGCGCATGGTCTCTTAGGGACTATAATGCCAAACTCACAAAAAACTAAAGTTCTGTTGACACCCACAGATGGTCTATCTCCCTAGCAAATCTGTTCTGTTCAATTATAATTGCCATCGCATAGCCCTACAGCTCTAAAGGTAGCCTTTGATGCAAGTGTTCAAAGGGAATGAAACCACGCACTGATCTTGGCAATGGATGCCACTTCCCTAGAGCTTTTGCAAGAGGAAGTGAGGTAGTACCACTATCCCACTCTTTTTGCAGACAGAACAAAAATCAAAGTGCCCTCAGGAATGACAGCCTCTCCCTGGAATATGCGCTTAGGTAACTAGATAGAAAAATGCAAAGAGATGGAGATGGGCAAGAACATTATCTGCATGACCTTCATACTTCTGTTGTTTTTGCTATCCTGTTGCAAACTGATGTGACATCACTCAGTTACACAAACCATTTAACTGTAATTTTTCTGTGGCTCCCCAATGATTAGCTATGCATTTTTTTTACTTTCTTTTTGCCATTCATCACCAAAAACGCTACAAAACATAACATTACACTGTAAAAATATGAAAAAACAATTCTGAAAGTATGATTTTACTTTGACAACTCAAAATACTTTAGAAAATTTAAACAAGTTCACATTTACAATTTTCACCGATATGCACCATTATAATTAGCATGCACTACTATAGTTAACTTTCCCAGATTTAATACAGAAACGTCTTATTTTATACAAGTAAAAAGCCAAAAACATCATATTAACAGGAAACAAAATTAATGTAAAACTATGCAGATCACCATTCATATGTTAAATATGCATTGATTTTGTCTATAACAGGGTTGTCAAACATTTGGCCTCCTTGATGCATTTCTGTGACTCGTGTCCTGAGATTATACAGAACCTAATATTGTTTTCTGTTTTCAGATTGCAAAAACAGTCTTCCAAATGTAAGTCAATATAGCATTATCCTCTCAAGTCTGCAGAGAACCTGAAACAATAAATCAGAGGAATTATTGAAGGGAAAAATGAAGAAAAAAGGATAGAAAGAGAAATAAAGGGGAGAAATTGTAGTTCTCCTGTGTGTGAGTATATTTTCTTTCTGCGTGATAATGAATGCTAAAATGATAACCAAAAATGTAGTTACTATATAGTCTAATTGAGGGGATTAAACAGTCCTATATTCACTGACCATAAATACAAACGGAATGTGGCCCTTCCTTAATGAGTTTGACATCTCCGTTCTATCCTTTGACTAGGATAAAGATAATAAATATTCCATGAGCATTTTTGTGATCTGTAATGGCCAGGATATAAATCTAACTAAAGCACTAATGAAGTCAATAAGATGTTCCATACAATGCGTAAGAGATTATGGAATTCAACTATACACTAATTTAAATGTATGATAACTGCTTGCAGACAATCTTTTTTTTTTAAAAAATAAATATTTAGTTATAAAAAACACAAACTACCAAGAGCATAGACGATGGTGAAAAAGATGAAGCGTTTCCGTGTTGATTAAAGGCAGTTCAAGTCAAATCTGCTGCTTAGTCGATGACTGATTAGCCGAACGGCTCTGTTGTGGCCGCTTGCGCTGAGGGCGCTGCCTAGGAGGCTGGTTGTCCAAGGGACGTGTTTGCTGTCTAGAAACATTGAAATCGTACCTCCGTTGGTAAGGGAAGTAACGTCTCCGTTTGAAGGAAGTTGTGTACATCCCAAGTGTACGTAGAGTGGTGCGTGAGTCTTTTCCTGAATGGAGGACCTCATTAGTGTTTGCCGCAAAGAGTTTACGTTTGTCAAACGGTAGATCCTCAACCTTGCTTTGCAACTCCCTTGGAGCCCCTGCTGATGAAAGCCAAAATGATCTCCTTATGCGGCTCGAGCTGCTGTGTCAGCCATATCCATGGCAATCTGCAGTGCAGTGCTACATGATGCGTACCCTTCTTGTACTATTGCTTTCAGGAGTGGTTTCTTGCTGTCTGGGAGATGGTGCAGGAACTCTGCTAGTTTTGAATAATTATCGAAATTAAGGTTCAATAGATGGGCTGAGTAGTTTGCAATTCGTAGTAGCAGTGTGGCTGAGGAGTAGACTTTCCTACCAAAAACATCCAATTTTTTATTGTCCTTGTCCGGAAGGGTATTTCTGTACTGTGGCGCCTTACTCCTACGTTGCACTGCGTCTACTACCAACGAGTTAGGTTGGGGGTGATTGAATAAAAAGTCCAATCCTTTCGCTGGAACAAAATATTTTCTGTCAACCTTTTTACTCGTAGGTGTAACCGATGTTGGGGTTTGCCATATCTCATCCGACACTTCCATTATCGCGTCATCAATTGGTAATGTGACCTTGCACATTGTTGTGGATGGGGGGTTTGTTGTGGATGGAGGTTTTTCAAGAGGAGGTGCCTTTTAACCGGAACATCCGCCAGCTGTATTTCCTGCGTGCCTGCCACTCGTTTGAAGAGATCCTGAAAGTGTTTCAGATCATCCGGTGGAGAGATGTCACCTGGGCATATCGCCTCATCCGGGGAAGACGAGGAGCAGTCTGCTGGAGAATTTTCCGGTTTAGGGTCTTCTGCTTCAGACAACTGTCCCTCTTCCGGTTCGGATTGGTCTAGCTGGATCGTTGAACTCTTAGCTGGAGAAGGTGAGTCTAGTGGCTGTGATCAGTGAGGTAAGTATTCCACTGTTGGTGGTTGGCAGATGCAGGAAGATCCCCTACGTGATGATGGTGTATGGTCACGCTGGGGACGATCGTAATATGATCTATGATAGTGCTCATAGTAGCGCTGAGACCGCAACGGGGAGGAGTGTCGAGAGGAGCGTGCACTACCATGTTGGATATAATAGACACGAATTGGAGAGCGTCTAACAGACCCATACGTCAAAAATCGGGAGGGTGAACGGGATCGTGAACGGGACTGATGTGCGTCTAAGTACACTGCGTCCCTATAATTATGCTGGCTGTACATGATCCGTGAGGGAGAAACATAGCCACGATAGCGACCGTACCTTCCTGGTGAAACAGCTTGAGAAAGAGAACTGTCCCTATAATGGGTCTTTGACAATGCCTTCCTAGGTCTAGAAGTCCCATCCATCCCCAGAGTCACGGGGGAGCCAGGCACCGAATGAAAATGAAGCGGTGCCAGAGAAGTCAGCTGTTGCTGAGCTGATGCCGGTGCCGGTAGGACGCCCGGTGCCGGGGTTAACGATGGTGCCAAGTCTGAGGCATTAACATGTTCTGCCTCGGATACCGGTGCTGGAAGGAATGGTGCCGATGCCACTGCCAGGGAGGGAGAGATAGGCACCGTTGCATTAGGTGCCGCTGAAGCCGGTGCTGAGAGGCTGGTCAATTGTTGCCAGCCAGCTGCGGCACCGCTCCCGATGCCGGCGCCGAAGCCGCTCTCACTCTGGGTGGTGGGGGTTCTCTCATACCAGCCCCAGCAAGTTGTCCAGACCCCCCAGGGGTCACCTTGGAAGCCCCTGCCAATGTTGTGGCTGCCGCAGGGAGAGAGCGCGTTGGGGACGGCTTTGATGTTTTGGAGATAGCCGGTCCCGGAGAAGCCGCTCTCCTCTTATGCCCGGAGGTTTTTGTGGCTACAGGAGGGATCGGATCAGGCTGTAATGCCTTGCCAAACATCAACATTCTTGTCTTCATCTCCGGGCTCTTGAGGTTAGTTTGCGACAATGGGTGCACTTGTCAGGGACATGAGTTTCCCCCAGGCACCTGATACAAGTGTCATGGCCGTCAGCCGTTGGCATGGCTTCACGGCACACTGAGCATTTTTTAAAGCCAGTTGATCCAGGCATTGTCAGCACAGTTAAAGAAGCTGAACGCCTGTGTAATCCCCACTGTGGGTAGTCAATTTCACCAGTTTAGCGCTTTGCTGCAGCGCTTCGCAATGAACGGTTTGAAAGAAAAAACTTTTTTTTTTAAAATAGGAGAACAAGTAACAAGAACACGACTAACACTAAACTTTAACTATTTACAATAGAGAACTATCTAAAACCATCACTGAAAAAGAGATCAGGGAGCGCCGACCGCAACCTGAGGCGGTTGAGAGGAACTGATGGTTGCCGGCTTGCACGCAGCTGATCAAAGGCACGAATGCTATCCTGGTGAACCATGCATGCGCGAGCCGGCGGAGCACAGCTATGCAAAGTCTCTGAGCTGCAGCGCCGGGACAGGACCCGACACCTAGAGTGGAGCACCCACGGGGCCACTCGAAGAAGAATTTATACATTAATTTTCATAGTGCCATTGTTAGAACTATGCCAACCTTTTTCCAGGTATTTCCCCTTTTGGTATTAAAAATTGTTTGCCTTTAGTGAAGAGTATTATTCCTTTTTAAAAAAGTTTAATTTAAATTTTAAAATTCATTACAACCCGGGCACATACAAAATCTGGAAAATTTCTCATTACATGAAAAACAGGGCTTTTAAAAGTATAAACTAATGGAATTTCACAAAACTCAAACAAATTCATCCTTGGACTCAGAACAGGCATGAGTTATTTTGGCTAAAATATTACTTTTATTCCAGAATGTTAAAGCACTTGAAAATTGGGACTTAAAAATAAAAGTGCTGCCTCAAACATATTATAAGTATAGTATAATTTATCACAATGCTATAATTAATATCTGTTCTTTATTCATTTTTAATTTTAAGGAAATTTGATTGCATTACTTTCTATAATATTAAATACTGATGGAAAATGTAAAACTTGATACCCATCTACAACCTTGCTTTTTTAGCTTCATTATGTAAGATGACATCTCCTAAAATTGTTCCTGTTTTTACGAATAATCCCCCTTGTTTTTGAAGTCTTTCAAGCATATTCTGAATCATGACAGTCTTCCCAATACCGGAGTCTCCTAAAAAGCCCAAAGACACAGAGAATTAAAACACTTACACTAAAATTTCAAGTAATATTCATGGCAAAATGGTGTGTCAAAACATGAATTAATAACTTGCATGCTATTAATGCTATTGCCCATGTTAAATTAGATCCACTATCCAATTCTGTGTTTGTAGACAAAAAGATTTTGATATGAGAAATGGAGACTACTGGGAAGTTGGGTATAGCAAATGGACAATAGAAGGAATGTAGTGGGAAATAATGTTTGCAACATATCACCTCTCTTCCACTTTCTCAACTTTCTGTATTTTCTTAAATATACAAAGGAGAAAAAATGATAAATATATTGTTTTGCAAAATGCTGCCACAAGGGGGCCGTGCTGTTCAAATTGGAATATTTTCATACTGTACATGACAGTACTCCTACTCAAGCTACAGCTGCTTTCACCTCTCTCAACAGACAACTTAAAACCTGAAAGTGGAAGATTACATAAAAGGGAAGCTTTAGATTACACTGTAGCTATACATAGGGAAAAGGGAGCTGGGAAAGAAACAGCACATACTGCAGATTCAGGTATCAGTTTAGGGCTCATCCTCCCAGTTTTTTCTGGAACTCAATTTATGGAAAGCTGTTTCAACATTCCATTAATGATTGCTATTCATCTACCATTTTGCTACATCCTGATTGTTTTTTAAAAAGAATTTCTCATATCACATCATGTAGCTATGGGGCACAAGCTGTCACCATCACTGACATTAAGTAATATCTTTTGTGATTAGTGGGTATTTTGTGGAGTAAGGTACTACCCAACATAAACAAGAGTGACAGAATCAGACACTTAGGGTTAGACTCACCAATAGAGAGATAGGAATTCCTATCTCTGTATTTCATTTAAAAACTACAGTATTTGGACATAAGTAATTTATTGAACAAAGTTTATATTTGCTTTGTTTTTAGAAATTAAGAGTACCTGTGATAAGTACTGGATGTTTATTCAGCAACAGAAGACTTGTTAGAAAAGTATAGCAAGTTGTATCCATATTAGGAATAAACGTTAGAGTATCTCTTCTTCCAGGGGTTACTTCTTTACTCTCAGATTTCAGAGAATCAGAAAATGATGTATCTGAATTAAAAAAAATATATAATGTTTTCTTTTAATTTCTGATTTTTAAATTTTGTATTAGGAAATTTTCAAACCTAAGCTGTATTCTGTATGCTGCCTCTATATTGAACACATTCTTTCCATTACTGCTTCTCAATATAATTCAATTAATTCTACTCTGTTTTTGGTCCTGAATTAATTTATACTGGGCTCTACATCTCTGCAGGGGATCCATTGCTGCTACCACCTAAAAGGTTCTCAGCCGTGCCTCCTCTACGGGAGGGAGCTGAGCTGCTGGGGGGGGGGGGGAGGAGGAGGGGAAACACTTCACAAACTGCGAGGGAGAAAAGGGAGCACCTGAGCTTGAAGCCTACTATGCTTCTTTTTGCTCTACCCGTGAGAATTATAGTTGGACCACTTATTCAGAGATACATGTAAGTGACAAGAGAATTTTGTCTCATTGTCTCATTTTCTTTTAATACTCTGCGTGACTAGCCAATTGGTATCTTGACATGAATTAGTCTTTGGAAGAAATTCCTTTCTATGGATGTCAGTGTGTTTAATTCTAAACATCCATACTAGTAATCTTGTTACCATATTGGAAAAGCAGGTCTACATGTTCCATAAAAGTACAAGTAGAAGCAGACTCAGAAATTCTGATCTGAGATATCACAGTGATAATCACGGTATATACAAATTACTGAGGAAGACCATGACATACTGTATTTCTCTGAAGTGCCAAACACATTGATAGGCAGCGTACAGGAATAAATAAAATAATACTTTTACCTGGAGAACTATGAAGTGCATGACAGAAAAGACATTAATAGCTGCCATATGCTCATGCAAGGAGCTAAGAGTCAACCCCAATGTTTTCTAGAGAGCAGAATAATAGGGATCCAGAACTGTCTGGGATAGCCTAGGATGCTGACACTTTCTCTGTTCCATTTTCCTTTATAGCATCTTCTCATGGAGGCTTTTCTGCAATCTGAAGTGGCTTTTGCCCACAAAAGCTGATGAAACTATATATATATATATTTGTTAGTCTCTGAGGGTATGTCTACACTACAAACTTAGTTCGAACTAACGGACATTAGTTCGAACTAACTTTAATAGGCGCTACACTAGCGCTCCGCTAGTTCCAATTTAATTCGAACTAGCGGAGCGCTTAGTTCGAACTAGGAAAACCTCATTTTACAAGGATTAAGCCTAGTTCGAACTAGCTAGTTCGAATTAAGGGGTGTGTAGCCCCTTAATTCGAACTAGTGTGAGGTTAGACCTCCCCAGGTTTCCCTGGTGGCCACTCTGGCCAACACCAGGGAAACTCTATGCCCCCCTCCCGGCCCTGGACTCCTTAAAGGGGCACGGGCTGGCTACAGTGCCCGTGCCAGGTGCAAGCCTGCCAGCACCCAGCCAGCAGA